GAAAAAAAGAAAAATTTTAATTAAAAAACCAATGCTTTGTGAGTTATATACACACAAACATATACATAATTAGTTAAATGAATAAATGCGCAAACTAAAAAAAAAAAAAATACTTTAAAGGGAAATTAAATTATATTCAGTTCATAAAAGTAACTTACATATTTGAACATGGTCTTCCAATTTTTAGCTGAGTTAACTGCGCGCTAGTATATAGACGAGAAATATGCGGCTTTGTGCAAATGATACTGGTTAATTAAATATGGGCGAGCTATGCTTTTATACAGAAATTCTGTTGTTCATCTGCAGCTTCCAAGCGCGTCAGAAAATGTGTGCAAAATGTGCGCAAAAAATAGGCTCAACAACCCAGCGGCTTCTGCACTACACCCTCTGCTTAGCAAAGCGCTGTGTTCTGTGTGCTAATGGCTACGTTAAGTGCTCATTACCGTCACTAACAACAAAAAAACACACACACACTTATGTGGGCATATGTATGGACATTAGGGTGCAACAGTCTGCATCAAAAAAAAAAAAACGTCGGTATTGTTTTTCCATCGGAATTATTAAACGAGTCCATGTACATTCGTCAAAATATTTCAGAAAAGTATTAAAATTTACGTAAGCTACGCCGATTTGAAAATAATTCCAAAAAATCTATTTTTTTAATCAAATTAGTTAATTTTTTTTTTCAAAAGATCACTTCAGATGATAGAAGAGTTTAAGCTTAAATGATTTGCATAAAAATCTTAAAAAATTTTATCAACGGAATCAAAATGATTCGGTGTTTGGAGGTACATATTTTCAAATCGGTCCAAAATAAAATAACAGAGCGCTTCTGGCTAAGATAGTTGCTAACTTTTATAAGATAGTTGCAAGTCAGTAGGCGAGATAGTGTGAAAAAAGCTAAAAGTTAAAAGTAATTTTACAGAAAGTACTTGAGCTTGTCCTAAATCTGCATGCATGTATGTATATCATTTTGCTCGAGCTGCTTCAACATTCTCAAAGACGGGGTGAGTAAAGCATTGTCGTGGCGTTCGATAGATCCGAGGTTAAAATCCTCGGGGAGATGGCATTTTTTATTCATATTTTTTTTTAATTTTTTTAAATTAATTTTCTTTCAATGTTTAGATCTTAATGTTTAAAGAGCATTTTTTAATATCATTTAATTTTTAGGAACTAATTTTCTTCTCGTTTTTACATTATATTATCTTATAAACGTTTATTATTAATTTCTTCTTCTTTTTATTTAGATTTTTGGTTTTTGTTGTTTTCAAGAGAAACACTTATATCTATTTTTTAAATTTCATTTTTAGAAAACTGATTATTAAAAGACTAAGACCTATCGTTAGTAGATCTAACTAATTACAGCCAATTTCACGAAAGCAATTTACTTAAGTGAAAAATAATTCTAATTTTTTGAATTTTGTATGGAAATTGACGGAAAATAAAAAATCATTTTCCATTTAAATTGCTGGCGAAACCGGCTGTTAGTCTTTCGAAAGGCAAAAAAGAACTTTCAATATAGTTGCCAGAATTTGCAATCGGGTTACGAAAGACTTTTGCCTTTCGAAAGACTGGGGTGAGTTAAAAGACAGTTGCCGGGATTGCCCTGTTAATTTTAAGATGTCGTTGGGCAAACAGCAACTTTTTTTTGGTGAGGCACAGTGATGTACATATGTAAATTGTATATAGTATGTACATTAGGCCTGGATAATTCTTGAACTAAATGAACTAGATAATTAGTTCATCTCAATGAACTAGTTCACTAGTTCCGTCTTTTCATTGAATTAAATTCGTTAGTGCTACTATTTCTCATTTTGGATCGCCCTCCAAATATTCTTGACGCGAACGTATGAAAACCCATCTTTTGCGTTGTTGATGCTTCAGTTCCTTGCGAACTCATTTATTTGTAATCTATTTATACGAAAACATATTTATGTACGTTTTTCATATATGTCAATTCAACTTACCAAAGTATTTGTTTTGTATGTATGTAATAGTAAAAATAATTGAACTTTTTTTTAAATAACATATCGACACCTGAGTAGAAGATCGACCCTTCTCGCCAGCCAGTTCGAAAACACCCTATCGCAGAAAACTTTTCAAGAACGCCATATTTCAGAATTCGGTTAAAGAACGCCCTGTGTCAACTGCAAATATATTGAAAATAGGTTGAGATAGGGTGTTTTTTTAATTCGGAAGCTGAGGTAGGTCGTTTTATCAAACAAATTCTTAAATAGGTTGTTCTTGAAAAGATTTCACAGATAGGGCGTTTTCGAACTGGCTGCCAATATAGGTCGATCTTCCACTTTGGTGTCGATATGTAAATGTATTCGTCAATTGAACTGAATGCACTAAAGAACTAGTTCACTAAGGTGAACGAACAACAACTGAACGGTCCACTCAAAAGAACTAAAGTGCCCAACTCTAATGTACACACATACATATGTATGTATGTATAAGCTCGCCCGTAGGTAAATAGTTTTTTTTTTTGCTACTATCTGTTTTAGTATTTTTTGCAAGCATTTTTTGCATCATTCTTGGCTGCCCATGGCACGTCCGCGTACATCGAGCCCATCATTGCGTGCAGACAGACGTTGGTTGGCGGCGTTGACGATGGCGCGTTAGTTAGCCATATGCGATGCCTAGTACTCGTACGAGTTTCAAGTGTGTTGTTGTGTGGCCGTTTGTATGCAGATAGTAGATATTTTTGGTTTGTGCCACACAGCCGTACGTTGTGCAGCATACTAATTTCCCACACATGACTTTGGGGATATTTTCATCAAATTGCAAAGTTTTTTTTTTATTTTCGTTTGCCTTTACTTCTGTTTTTTCTCTGTTTTACCATTTTTGTTTTCTTAATTATGTCCATTCGTGCTCATAGACACATAATATCTAACAATCTGAACGACACTCTTTTGCAGCAGTATTTTTTTTTTGAAATTATTCTCAAACATTTTTTACTATTGTTCTCTAATCATGCAATAATTCAATTATCGCACTCAAGAACAAACAAAATTCTTAAAATTTACTCACATTTATATTTTGTTTTGATTTGTGGAAGGTCAGGCAGCATAATTTGCTATCCAAAGCTACGAATTGGTATTGACGTTGAGTAGCCTCACGTGCAAACACCTATTTCCGAATTGGACTCAGCTATGTATTTGTATGTAGATATGTTTGTAGTGAGTTAATGACATACATCCATATGTATGTAGTATAACCATTCACATTTCTGAGCATACTACGTTCGCATCCGAAATATTTATTTGTGACCTGTCTTTTTAGTGATTGCTTCGAATCCATCGTATAAATTGTCATATTGCAAACGTGCTTGGAGTAATAATGTTTGTTAGTTTGTTTTGGAAAGGAACGAATTAATTAGCTTTAGTGTGTGAGTGAATCATCTGCTGATGGGTGGATGTAGTATATCGTTTCTAGCTCAACTTCTAAATGAAATGGAATGTACGGACCACGAATTATCCGGTAAGGCAAGCCCCGCGGTTAGAGGTACTTATTACAACAAAATAGCTTCTGTGTTCGATGCCTGCCTCAAGCAAACTCGAAATCGTAGAATAAGTTTGTTTTAATAAATCACTAGGCAGGCAATGGCAAGAGCAGTGCTCGCGCGAAAAAGGATCTCATAAAAAAGTCTCGCTAGTGCATGTTTTTATTTTCAACGAAGTTCAAATTATCCTATACCGATGAAAAAATTTCTTAACTAATAAAATAGAAGTTTAGCATACATCTACAGGCTAAGGTCTCTAATTTGACCTATCATTTTTGAAACTTTTTTTCAAACTAAAATCTTCTTAAATCTCTTCCGTCTGACATTGTGATACACATGTATTTCAATAAACTGATGGACTAATTTGAATTTGTTTGTTCGAACAAATGGCAACCCTCCTAAGTAAAGGTCACGCATAAATCCCTTTCAAACCCATTCATATTTATACCCATCTTTTTATGATTCATTCAACTTAACATAATTTGAATGAAACTTTTTAAACACGTGGCAACCCTCTTGAAACATTCGAAATGTTCAAACTAAAGATTTCTTAACATTTTTTTCTTTGACTACGGTATTATTATATTTCATGTACTTTTTGAATTAGTTAGTTGAGTTAGATCTTTCAAACAGGTGGCAACCCTCTTCAAAAGTAAAATTTCAAGCTTAATCATTGTTGACTCTCCTTCGCCGGACACTGCAATACATATTTTAATTAACTGATGGCTTAAGTGCAATCTCAATTTTCAAACATGTGGCAACCCCGCTAAATACAGTTCAGAAATAGAAAATATTCAAACCACCAACTTTGATAGATACCCATATTTTAATAATTCATTTAACTTATAAAATAATTTGAACTTAACTTTTTAAACAGGCGGCAACCCTCTTTCAACACCACAAAAATATTCTTAGCGCTCAAATTAGAGATTTCTTAGCACTCCTTCGTTCGACATCCATACTTTGATATTTCGTATAACTTGTGTATAAGTAAACTAAATTCGACATTTGAACCAGGTGGCAACCATCTTCAAAATATTTTCAAACTTCCGTTTGATGTTATGAATATTTGCACTAAAACTTTCAATTGTTTTAAATGCTGTTCTGCGAGCACCAACTTCAAGTTGAAAAAAATGCTTAAACTTTTAGTAAAACTTGGTTTCATCAATTTTTTTCGATCAAGTATTTTTTTATTTTTCTATATTTTTTTATTATTTTGAGCATATTATAACTATTATTCTCAGATTTAATTTTTTTATCATAAAAGATTTAAAACTGTCTAAAAACGCAGTCTCAAACATATCTGTTAAAAATGATCGAAAAAAAAAAANCGCACATGTACCTATGTTTGACCGCCACATAATTGCGCTCATTTACTCACCGTATTTGCACTTAAAGGCATATACTTCATCAGTATATCAAAATCGTATTTAAAGTCGATCGATAAACGAAAATGTCATCAGTTTAACTTTGCTTTACTACAGTAAAACAACAATCAACAACAAAACAATCAAAATGTTCAAATACGTAAGTGAATTTCATTGCAGATATTCCTCGAATCCTTTCAAATGCAGTTATCAATTGTTGGATTTAGTGACGATTGTAATAATCCTTTATTAATTATTTCCTCATTCCATGTCATTACAGTTCGCTGTCGTTTTCGTGGCCCTCTTCGCCTGCGCTGCTGCCGAACCTAAACCCAGTGTCATCGCCGCGCCATTGGCTTACTCCGCCCCATTGGTCGCCTCGCCCTATGCTGCCGCCTATGCCGCCCCATACGCTGCTTACGCCGCTGCTCCTTATGCCGCCTACGCTTCACCCTATGCTGCCT